TTTTATATAGATAATTTTTATATTTAGATAATATATATATTACTATATTTAGATAATTTTTATATAGATAACTTTTATATTTAGATAATATATATATTACTCTATATTTAGATAACTTTTATATTTTATATAAATAATTTTGATATTGACAAAGTTTAGATTTAAAAAATTGTTAAGAGTGTGAAACTGTTGTGCGAGTCCCAAGAGTCAATTTCATGTGCATAAAATGCATTTTGTCATAAAAAAAAATAGAAATATTATAAGTTAGAAAAATGATTTGATATTTTCAGTTAAAATAGCTTCGAGTGCAAAGGGTTAAATCGCGAGGCGGTTCTTCCTCGCGGTCGCTTCTGTCGTGATTTTAAACGAACGCCGCTTCGTGTCGGGCGATTTAATTATTTCAACGACGTATTGAAGCGATCGAAGCTTTTCGACGCGGTTCGAGAAATTGCCGACGAAAACAAAAGTGTTCTTTGCTCGAATATACGTATTGTTCATTAGGAAGTGTACAGTTCGAACAGCGTGTTGTTGGAAAGTACACGCAAAGAAATTGATGAGAATCATCTGGCTTAAGTAAGATAGTTAGGAAAGCAAACAATCTTTTGTTCGAACTCTTTCGCGTGAAATGGTGATTTCGTGTGGATCTAATTAAGTTTACGTAGCCAATTAAAAGCTACGATCACGTTGTGGGAATAGAATGTACGTACACTGGGTACCGTTCGCATAGTATTTGGACATTTGTCCTGCGAAAATGTCTGGAACATTTTACCGGCACGATGAGACCGTGCCTCTTCTTGCTTCTCTCGCGAAACGTAACACGAAGATGGTTTCGAAAATCGACAATTGATCGCAAGTAGGTATCCCAATTATTTCCGAATGCGTTAAAAAGACCGGCGAATGGATCATTTTACCCCGTAACGCCAAAAGGGTGAGATCTAACGTACGATCATATTTCAAATCTATTGTCTATTATAATTCGAATCTATTATTTATTGTAATTCGAATCTATTATCTTTTATAATTCGAATCTATTATTTATTGCAATTCAAATCTACTATCTTTTATAATTCGAATCTATTATCTATTATAATTCGAATCTATTATTTATTGTAATTCAAATCTATTATCTTTCATAATTCGAATCTATTATTTATTATAATTCAAATCTATTATCTATTATAATTCAAGTCTACTATTTATCATAATTCAAGTCTATTATCTATTATAATTCGAATCTATTATTTATTATAATTCAAATCTATTATCTATTATAATTCAAGTCTACTATTCATCATAATTCAAATCTTATCTATTATAATTCAAGTCTACTATTCATCATAATTCAAATCTTATCTATTATAATTCAAATCTATTATCTATTATAATTCAAGTCTATTATTTGTCATAATTCGAATCTCTATCATCCATTGTAATTTAAATTTGTAATAAAAATCTATCGTAACTCAAGCTTATAATAAAAATCTATCGTAACTCAAGCTTACAATAAAAATCTATCGTGTGACTCAAGCTTATAACAGAAATTCATAGTAATTAAAAAGAAATCATAATGCAAGGGTTTAATGAAATACGCGAGAAACTAAGTTCATTGTCGGAAACTATACCGATCGAATCTTTTTACGTCGTGCGACGAAATGGACCGTAGAGATCCTTTACGTCGATGAAATCGCGGATGAATGAAAATACGCCGGAGAAGAGAGAAATCACGCGCGCGCCCGCGTTTCACGTATCTTTCCGAAAGTTTCGGAGCTCTGTCATTGTGAAACGCTTTCAAAAGGGTTATTACACGGGAGGAGGAAGCGGGCAAAGTAATTTTGGTCGCTGCGCACACACACACGCGGCGACATCCTGTCCTGTCGGTCGACGACGGGATCGAAAAAGAGCAGGATGGTGTGTGACACACGTCGCGGAAAAGGAAACAACGAGCAACATACATGCATACAGACGCGCCGGGGGTCAGAGGCTCGCCGGTGGGCTCACACGCGGCTCTCCTCTCTGTGTCCACGTTCGTTCGATTGTTCCCCACAGGGCGTGTGTGTGTGTGTGCGTGTGTGTGCGTGTGTGTGCGTGCCGTGTGTGACCACTGACAAAACGCACAAAGCTGGCAGAGCGACGGCGAGTGGTATATCTCGACTGATAATTACGGAAGGGGCTCGAGCGAACATCCGCTCAATAAAACCCACCCGATGATCGACGGCACGGCTCTGCCTGAAAACGGAAAAGCCGGCCTGCCGAGCGGGTTTCGTGCACCTGCGACCACCAAGCCCGCACCGCATTCGAACTCTGCGGAAACACCTAGCTATGGGTGAACGAGGCGCGAACCGCGTACGCGAACGCGAACGCGATGCGCCACGCGTTCAAGTCACCGGGCTCCGGCCGTTGCACGTTGCACGATTTGAAAGATTCTCAGAATCCAGGCTATTATTAAATCCGCGGTTTTTCGATGTTTATGGTGTGCACGGAATTTCGGAGCAGCGGGGAGAAATCGCTTCGCTCGCATCTATTGGGTTGGCAACTAAGTAATTGCCGATTTCAGTTATAGACGTCTCTCGCTCCCATTTTTATGATATCCGTGAATGTTATATTATAAAATATTCTTCAAATATGAACAAATTTGATTAATAAAATTATTTTGGAACCTAACGTGACAATTTTTAATTGCGCCTTGGAGTCGCCATTCGAGTGGAAAGGATTAACCCTTTGCGCGGGCGAGGATTTTTAATAGTTGTGAAAATATCTGCCTCGGGGAACTAGAGATTCTCCATTAAACGCTTGAATAACGGAAGAGAGGAATAATATATATTGGGTTGGCAACTAAGTAATTGCCGATTTCAGTTATAGATGTCTCTCACTCCCATTTTTATGATATCCGTAAATGTTATATTATAAAATTATTATTATTATTATTATGTTATTTTTTATTATCCGCGAATGTTAGCAACTGGACAAATTGAATGCAGCGGTCAAGGAAAAGCGACCAGAATTGGTCGATCGAAAAAGTGTCATTTTCCAGCAGGACAATGCTAGGCCGCACACGTCTTTGTCCACTCGGCAAAAATCGATGGATATTGGTTGGGAATTGATATTACACCCACCATATAGCCCTGATCTCGCGCCATCGGATTACCACTTATTTCGAACCCTGGACAACTCCCTTCGTGGTAAAACTTTTAACGACGATGACGCTGTAAAATCTCACTTAACTCGGTTTTTGGCCGAAAAGGACCAGACTTTCTACGAGCGTGGAATTTTCAAGTTGTCAGCGAGATGGCAAAAGGTCATCGAACAAAATGGAAAATACATTACAGATTAAACTTCATTCCGAGTAAAAAAAATTTGTTATTTCATTGAACAAATCGGCAATTACTTAGTTGCCAAACCAATATTTCGTAGATTCGACTCGACGCGTAGTTTTTCGTTACTTTATCAAACGCTAGATTTACGGAGCATTAAAGAAAAAAAACAGTTGTTTTATATTGATTTACGAAAGTTTTATCGAGTAAATAACTCATAAATTATAACTTAGAAATTAATACGCAGCTGCAATAGTGCATATGCGAATGCAATATTTCTGTGCGGATGCACAGAAATAGTGTACCTTATAAATGGTGCTTTATTTAATGCATTTTGCAGTATGGAAGAAGCTAAATACCACTTAAATGACTTGCAAAAGATTTAGACACGAAGTGGCCCCTTAATAATATTGACCGTTTGGTCAAAATGCGAATAACTTAGAATCTGACACCGAAGAGACTGGCCCATCTGATTTATAACAGATAACAAAACGTGCTAACTAAATTCGATCATCCTCTTAGACTGAATATCGACTTCAAAAATCGACATCAATTAGAAAAGACCATTAGCACAGATGAAAAACGCCAAACACAAAGTCGCTGCCGAGTTTGTAATGCGCGCAAAAAAGGCGAAGCGAAATATCGTTTTTACATGTAAATTCTGTGTCGTTCCTCTTCGCAGGGGTCGTTGTATTCATCGTCACCATACTTTGGCAATTACATGAAGTAATAAAACAAAACATGGGTCAGCCGACAAAATATTAATATTATGATAATATGATAGAAAAGATTTTCATTTTATTTAAAATTAATGTAATTCAGTCCGAATATTTATGCGACGTTAAATTTTGTCACGATCTTGTTCATCGCTTATTATACAAAATAACATGCGCGATAAATAAACAAAATTTATGTTTCTACTTACTATAAGAAGCGCTTTATTATATGAGAAAACTATTGATTCGATGATACTATTATAAACAATAAAAGGGAGCAATAATATTCATGCGAATATTATTATATTCATATCGAATATTAATGCGAGTCACTGTACATAAGAAACCATCTATATATATATATATATCTTCTTCTGTCTTATGTCTTACTGTAAACTATGTAACAGAGAGCTTCACCCATCGACGTCAATAAATAATTATTGTCACTTCTACCGACTGTAATGTCCACGGTACGGTCGTATAGCAATTAAAATGTGCTTAATGGTGGACAGCTGTCAGGCAAACGCAGGTAGTAAGTGTTAGCAATTTTCTTTGGGGAAGCTTATAGCTCGTAGTTCAGGTACGCGAACCCGATAATTCGCCGTTCCCGTTACAAGGATTTCCATATACCGTCGTCGTTTCATTAAATATATCTTGCCAGAAATGACGGCTGTAAACCGTTGCAGGTAGAAATTCAGGTACAAGGTTTACGACCGTCACCGTAAACCTTATTACTTTATAACAGCAGATAAGGGACAGAGGAAATGAAAATGAATAGAAAATACGAAAATTCAATTAACGGTGTGTCCAAGGGAAAAAAGCCGACGGCGACCCAACGGATTTTCGAAGGCGACTCGAAACGGATTCTCGACGACGACGACCCAACGGACTTTCCCCGGTGTTATTGTATGGACGCGGGAACGGATCGACCCTGACTGACAATAGAAAGTCGTTTCTATTATAAATAACTAATATACCTGGAAACAAATTTACGGCAGTAATACACGGGAAAGCATCGACGACAGTCTTGAATACTTCCGAGGACCTTTCGTAGCCGATTGGAATTGCACGGTTTCGAGCGAATGCTCCCCAAGGTCGGGGGAGCCACAGCTGCACACTTTTATCATTTTCTTTGCGCGGCCGACAAACAACGACAACGATCGCGATCAAGATAAGTCGGCCTGACATTGTACGAAGTGAAAGGAAGAACAATATCCGCGCGCGAGGATCGATCCCCTATGAACATTTGCAGGGGATCTTGCAAAATCCTTTCATCTGTCCAACGAAAATGCGAAAACGCATCGCTTGGAAACGTGGTAATAGACACAACAATAAAAAAGATGTCGTTTCTAAAACATCGTCACCGGGGCTTCTACGACTTCGATCGCTGCTAATTCAATACGGGGGCAACCGCTTCTCAACGTAATTTCGAAGCTGGAATGTTATTTCGCTCGCAGGTGAGACCGATTAATAACTCGTTAATATCGTGCCAATACGCTTCGTTTAACATTTTTCTATTTGAAATTCGACGTTGCGGTTCAGACAGAATTTATTTCACCGTGGAATCATAGATAAATTGTCATAGATGTATATTTAAACGATTCGGTTATATTGTCAGACCGTGGATTTTTATGCATTTCGTGCGACGCGCGAATATTTCAAATGCAAGGGAACGTATAAAATTAACAAGGATCTAAACCAGGGGTGTCAAACTCGCGGCCCGAGGTGAACATTTTTGCGGCCCAGTCGATATATCCGACGCAAAGTAAAAATAAAATAGAAATAGTCTCTGGGCCAATAAAATTTCTCCCGAAATAGGAAAGATAGTATCAGAGAAGAGACGTCGAGTATCAGGACGTAAACAATAATTTAACTTTATATATGTTTATTAACAATGTACCGGTCAAAATAAAAATATTCGTTTCTATGAACATTGATCTTTTTTTTGCGGCCCACCTAAAGTTAAGCATTGTTTATTTGGCCCAAGTTAGCTTTTGAGTTTGACGCCCCTGATCTGAACGGTATTTTTTATTTCATTTCATAGAATGACCAATCTTTTTTGGTCGACCGAAGGAAACATTTCTTTGTTACTGAAAATTGAGAACAACGATTCTATAATATTTACTCGACTTTATATTGCACAGGGAATTATATATTATATTGTTATAATATTTTTGTTTCTGATTTGTTATAATATATAATTATATATTATATTGTACAGCAATTCACATACTGTTCTACAATATTTCCTGCTTTTTGTTTCGCAGGTAAAATCGATGGGGGCGAACGCGAGCGGCTCGTTGAACCGTGCAGCCTGGAAACGATTTTGAACGTTTATCGCGTGCGCACACGGTTTTAAAAACGAACGATTCCGGCGAATATCTCCGAGGGAAACCCGCTCACCGGCCGGTTTAATAACCGGGCCGCGTAAAATTCCGGGCGTTGCGCAATCGCCGCAAAGACGATAATAAACCTGACATAACATCTCGGGGGTTTCTTGGAAAATTCGGACAACGCGGAGAACAGAGAGAAGTGTCAAAATAACTGTGTGCTGACCCGACTCTCTTGGCTGCGCCGCGAAACATTCGGCCAGTCCGGACAAGTTATTTTCAGTATTGAACCGTTCTGAACAACCGGGAACGACCGGTGTGTTTGTGTTCCCGAGTGGTGATTTCGGATAGGCCGTGCGAGAACAATGGAGCGGGCCGATTTCGAATTGCTCCGCGGGACCGATCGGTACGGGGCCCAACAAAAGGGACCTCGACGGGTCACAAAAGACACCCTTGTTGGTCATATAACGCTCCTAATCCCGGCAAATTAACGGAGCATGAACGGTCACCCGGCGAGGGTATTATTAACACGTTGAATGCCACGGGGGTCACCGGTGACCGGCACTTAACTTGGCGGTGACGCCATGGGGGCCACCGGTGACCGGCGCGCCCAAATTGATAGAAATATATATAATTTCAAACAAATGTGAATATCTAAAATTTTCTATTATTACCGTCGTCGATTCGAACAGTGACCACTGTCGCAATTAATATGTCAAACATGGTGTTACACTGTAACATATCAATTGCAGACAATATTTCAACATTATATGTATCGGATAAAAGGAAATTCATCGTGGCGCCACGGGCGATTTCTGTAAAACCGTACGAGGTCAGTACGTACGAGTCAGCAAATGCATCCTCAACTAAATGGGTGAGTTTCTTATCGATAATATTTTTCATATTTCTCTAAAAAACAAATCCTTTACGTACCTTAACGCGATTATTTATTATTAAATCAGCTTTGCGAATCATTCGTTGAATTCTGTTCGTACACGGAATTATTTAAATTAAAATATCATTTACGAACTTTGTTAATCTTCACTGTACACCTTGCATAAAAATTTCATATGGTACACA